GGCCCCGGCCCGCGGCTGGTGCTCGGGGAGCCCCGCCGCCGCCTCCCGCCCGCGCTGCCGCCGGCGCCGCCAACCGCCGCTGCGCGCGCACCTGCCCCGCTACGGGGTCTCCGCGCCCGCGGGGGCGGGGCGCGCGCGGGGCACCTCGGGAAAGGCAGTTCGGGAGCGCGCAGGCCGCGCGGCTACTTCCCGCCCCCCCCCGCCCCGACCCGGAGCGGCCCCGCCGGGGACGGCGCAGGCGCAGAACGGGACACAGCACCGGGTACAGAACCGAGCACAGAGCCGGGTAGAGCAGCGGACACAGAGCCGAGCACAGCACCGGGCAAGCTGTCCCGGCCGGGCGCAGCCGTGCGCGGGGCCCGGCACCCCGTCCCGGCCATGTACAGCCCTGCGCATGCGTCCAGGCCGTGCCAGCCCCACGTGTGGCCCCACGCGCGCCCTGCAGGCCACGTGCAGCCTCGGCGTGTGTCCTGGCCGTGCCAGCAGCGTGCGCAGTGCCCCACATGCTCCCCCATGCATGTGCAGCCCCATGCATGTGCTACTCAGCATGCACATAGCCATGCACGCTGTCGTGGCCATGCACCACCATGTGCGTGCTTGCCCTGGCTGTGCAGAGCACTGCGCACACTGCTGCTCGCACCCACGAGCGAAGATTTCCCCCCTTGCAGCCTCTCACAGCACTGGTGCGCAGCTCTGTAGCACGCGGAGCACGCAGCTCTGCAGGGAATGTCCCCAGCCGCATGTGTGACTGCAGGGAATGTCCCCCACCCCCTCCGGCATGATCGAAATGGGATCCCGTCCCCTCTGCGGGCCCCGCACCGCTGCTCACTCAGCGCTTTCCAGCTGGGCTATATAAAGGCCCAGGGCGGAGGGCAGCGCCGTGGACTTTCCCCCTACGGCAGTGCACGGCCATGAGCTCCCCGGCAGCTGCTCCGCTCTTCACCGAGGGCGAGGACTGCTCGGCAGCCTGGACGGCGGCGGCGGCCGCCTACAATGCGCCAGATACACACCTGGAGATCCTGGGCAAGCCAGTGATGGAGCGCTGGGAGACGCCCTACATGCACGCGCTGGCGGCCGCTGCCGCCGCCAAAGGTGCCACGCGGACAGGAATCCCGTGGGAATGGGGGGCTGGGAGGTGCTGAGCACTCGCTGGGGGGCAGCGGTGCCGCCGGGGGGACGCAGGGGTGACCGGCTGCCATGCGCAGGCGGCCGCGTGCTCGAGGTTGGCTTCGGCATGGCCATCGCTGCCTCCGAGCTGCAGCGGCTCCACATCACCGAGCACTGGATCATTGAGTGCAACGAGGGCGTCTTCCGGCGCCTGCAGGAATGGGCTCCCACGCAGCCACACAAGGTAGAGGTGTCACCACAGCCACATGCCGTGGCCCCCTGCCTTGCTGTGTCCCCTCTTTGTGTCCCCTCACCTCTCTGTGTCCCTTTGCTGTGTTTCTGCCTCACCCAGCTCCTTGCCACGGTCCCTGACTGTGTCCCTGCACCTCGCTGTATCCCATCCTCTTGTCTTGCCATGTCCCCTTGCCTCACCGATCCCCTAACAGTGTCCCCTCACCTCATCCTGCCCCTTCTCGGTGTCCCCTCACTGCACCCCCTCCTGCCACAGGTTGTGCCATTGAAGGGGATGTGGGAGGAGGTGGCACCCATGCTTCCAGACGGACACTTCAGTGGTGAGTGAGGGGACAGGGGACCTGCAGGGCACCCGTGGCCTCAGCTCCCCCGCCACAGCCCAGGCACATCACAAGCTTTAAAGCAAGAACAAAAGCCCCATCCTGGCATCGCTGCTGTCCCACAGGGATCCTCTACGACACCTACCCGCTCTCAGCCGAGACGTGGCACACGCACCAGTTCTCCTTCATCAAGGTAAAGCCACTGCGCAGCATCCAGGGGCAGCGCGGGGAGGGGAGCAAAACCAAACAAAAAAAAAAGACAGAAAAGACAGAGACTTTGGTCGGGTGTCCTGTTGCAACGGGGCATTGCCCGTGCGGGCTTGCCGGCAGGACCATGCTTTCCGCTTGCTGCGACCCGGCGGCATCCTCACCTACTGCAACCTCACGTCCTGGGGCGAGCTGCTGAAGACGCGGTACAGTGACATCGAGACCATGTTCGAGGTAAGGATGCGGTAGTGGCGGCCGGGGGGCTCCCATGGCCGCTCATCGCTCTCTCCGGCCTCCCTTCCCTGCAGGAGACTCAGGTGCCACGGCTGCTGGAGGCCGGCTTCAGGAGGGAGAACATCAGCACAGCCGTCATGGAGCTGGTGCCGCCGCGAGACTGCAGGTACTACTCCTTCCACAAGATGATCACGCCATCCATTGTGAAGCACTGAGCAGCCTGGGCCTGGCCACGGCTGATGGGAGACGCCAGCGCGGGCAGCAAATCCTTTACATGCACTGGGGAGAAGACGCTCATGTCTCCCTTGTGGTGCCGAGAGAAGGTTCAAAGCAGTTTATCCAGCGCTCCCAGCACCAGGGAGAGCGCTGGAGGCGCAGGGCTAGACCACCCAGGCTTCGGGGCCCTTCTGAGCTCAGGGACTCCTGCAAACGGGGCAGTGCTGCAGCTCCAGGGCTCCCTGCTCCTCTGCCGGCGACCCCGGGCCGCTGCACAACCCCCTCGGTCACAGGAGCTCTCTGGAAACGATGGCACCATTTTAGGCAAGGCCTGTCCTAAAGGAGAGGCCTTGAAGCCCCCTGGCTGACCCAACAGAGCCCTCGCGCCTCCTGCTTATTTCCCTCTACATCAGTTAATTTAATTGGCCACTTTAAGAATTTCTAATTTTGATGAAATTCTTGTAGTCTAATAGTGTATGGATGATGTTTCTCCTCTGTGCCCAGGAAAGAGAAAATGCCATTAAAATGCAATGAAATACACAACTGCTATTTCCATGCTGTTCATTTCTGCCTTCAAAGTGCACGTGATTCTGCAGCAGCTGTTCCTTGTCTGGGGCAGTGTGGAGTACCAAACACCAGCCTGTGACACAGCCTGTGCCAAGCTTTACTGCCATTTTGTTCCTACTGTACTGTGGATTCTACAGCATAATTATTAGTGTTATTCTGTTTTTCAATCATCAAATCTTTACTAAAGAAGACAAAACACTTCTTTAGTTACCTTACCTAATTATTAAAAACAGAAAAGCATCTTAAACAGATAAGAGTTTTATTAGAAGGCTTGTGAAGAATACAGATTTATTGTGCGTAAGACGACAAGCAGGTGCCCCAGGTAGACAGTCTGTGAGCAGGTCATAAATAAGTTGCTATTTCCTGTACCAGATCTGAATCTTCTTCTCCCGCTTAATCTTCTTCTGAAGCTGCAGGATTCCGTATAACAAAGCTTCAGCAGTAGGCGGGCAACCTAAGAGAAAATAAGAAAAAAAGGGAGCCTATAAGGCTGGCAGCTATACTAAATCATAGTCACCAGCAGCAGAACTGACAATTAATGGATTTTAACCCTAAGTGGGCAGTGAGAGTCTATAAAAATGCTGTGGTGGCACTGTTTTTTTTTTAAGGTCTTTATAAACCACAGAAGTGCTTTGTATTTTCATCAGGATGGTATCCTGCTGGAGACAAGAAAAGTCTCTCTGGTTGACTAAACTATAGCCCTACACTTTATACAAGAGCTACCAGCTACTATTATCACTAAAAGAATTTCACTTGCTTACCAGAAACCCCAGGCAGAACTTATTGAAACATCTGCAATTTGTGCTCTGGGTGTCCCTGCTGTAGCAGGCGGTCGGACTGGATGATCTCTAGAGGTCCCTTCCAACCTCAGCTATTCTATGATCTGGGGTTCACGTTCTCCCTCTGCTTCTCAAATCCACCATCCAAACACACAAAGCGACTTCACTCCCGCTGTACCCCCGGTTAGTGCCCTGGCACCAGATGTGATACCTGGCACGTAGATGTCCACGGGTACAATGCGGTCACATCCCCGCACCACCGAGTATGAGTAGTGGTAGTAACCTCCGCCGTTGGCGCAGCTGCAACAGACAGACAGTTTCTTGCAGACAGACGGACAGACATTTCAGTAGAGCTGTATTTAAATGCAGCTCAGCAGCCTGCGGTGAAAGATTAGCAGGAGCCAAAGGAAACAATAACCCAACATCCAAGATGCTGTGAGAAAAGAGGCCACATGGTAGTTAGATTTTACAGTAACAGATGAAGGCCAAAAGGTAGATCCTTAGATTCTTGGAATATCTGCTTGTCTAGACTCTGACAGCTGCAAAAATGGCAGCAATGTTTATTGGGAAGAATTTAGTTTGAAGAGCACCAATATGGCAGACATTATTCTCACATCCACCTCACCCTAATTGAAGGAGAATCTCTACATTTTAGTTGGAAGAAGGCTCCTTTATACAATTTAAGGAGTTGAAAACACAAATGGGAAATGAGTTCCCCTCCCTCCAATTCCCCCCTCTAGCAGTGACACCAGTTTTCTCCCAAGGAGAGGGAGGTGCTGGCACTCACCTTCCCATGGAGACCACGTAGCGAGGTTCAGGCATCTGGTCGTAGACCTGCAGGATGTTTCAAACCACTTTCCATGGGTCCCCGCTCTGCGTGGCCGCGCTCCGAGCCCCCTGCGCAGCTCCTACCTTCCGAAGAGCCGGGGCCATCTTGTTTGTCAACGTGCCGGCCACGATCATGACGTCAGCTTGCCGGGGACTGGCGCGAAACACCACCCCAAAACGGTCCATGTCGTAGCGAGGAGCTGCCATGTGCATCATTTCCACAGCACAGCACGCCAGGCCAAACGTCATGGGCCACAGGGAGCTCTGCAGTGGGACAGAGCTGGCTTAGAGGTGAGAACGCGCGAAGCAGGAGCTGAGACCCTGCGCACGTAACTCACAGAACAAGCTGCTCTCAGCTTTGATCGGAGAGGAAAGAGAACAAAACAGGACAGAGACATTTTCAGGTCTGTTTAATCAAAGCAGCATAAATGAAAGTGGCGATTACCACTTTCCACTAATGGGAGAGCAAAAGCCACGGCTTGAGGGAGCAGATCCCAAGGGTGTGTAAAGATGTCTGTGCACCTGCAGCCCTGGAGGCGCCGAGCGCACGCAGAGCACCCGCTGGTGGCAGCACGAAGGGACGCGGGACAGGGAAGATGGCAACATGAGAGGGGAACCTCAGCTCAGGCAAAGCGGCGCTGCCCTCGGCACCACCGCAGGCGGCTGCTCGTGGCAAGGCCCATGTAAAGCCGAGGGGCAGCGTTCGCTTGTTACCAAAGGACAGCCCTGTGCGGATGAGCAGCCCGTGCTGCTTTGCACTGGCACTGAACATAGCGTTTCTCTCCCATGTGCACGCTCACATCAGCAGCTGACCAAGACACTCTGTTTCCCTGCAAAGCTTGAAGAATGTGTAACCTATTTTTATCCTTGGGAGCAGGAGGCCTATATCCATCCCCCAAGAGCACCTCAGCATCTGATACCGTTTCTTCTTCGTGCTCAGGCCAGTGTCAGGGACTTACTCTTCGTGCCCAGTTGATGAGGTCATCGAGTTTGGTGACAATATACTCGCCCTTGCTAGTCGGGACATAAGACTTTTTCTGGACGACAGCTGAGCTTTTCTGTGGCACTGGAACAGGGCTGGAAGCAAACACACAACATCCACAGCATTACTGACCTACAGTTACTGAGTGTGATGGCAGAACACAGCACAGGAGCTGCAAGGAGCTGTGACGCCCCCACAAATCTGTGGAGCCCCGCTTGGGAACCCTCACGTGCTCCTCTGGAACTGCGGACTGTTGGGGACCGCGATTTGGGGACATCTCTGTAACTTGCTGCCACAGAAGGGCCCGTTTCCCTGTGCCCACATTATGGAAAGAGCCGGTGGGCTCAGCCCTAGGGCCACACGCTGACAAGAGCCCCTAGCTCCGATGATGGGCAACGTCAGAAGCAACTCGTGCGTTTCCACGCGGAAAGAGCTGCAGCCAGGGATCACATGGCCCCTGCTGCCGCAGGGACTTCCCTCTGGGCTCTTACCTGTCGGCACCATCGGCTGCCGGTGTCTGGTGGAGCAGCCGGGCATGAAGAGCTGCCACCGCGCTGGGCCTGGGGACAAGAAGGATGCGCTGGATGCCCAAAGGTGGCAAGAAAACAAGGGGAAAAACGAGAGGAAAAACCGGTGCAGCCTCCCCCACCTCACCCGGCCTGGCCCAAAGGGACATGGAAAGGGGGAAGGTGACACCGAGGAGAGGAAAAGGAGCCGCCACGGCCCCGCCGCCCGCCCGGCAGCCTCACCGCACGGCCTGCGTCCCGCGCCGGCCCACGCGAAGACCTGCAAGAGAGCGCGGGGCGGCTGAGCGGCGCGGGCCCCGCGCGTGTCCGCGCGCCCCGCTCCCGGTCCCGCTCCCACTCACAGGCCAGCGCCGCCATGTTCGTCGCCTGTAGCCCTTCAGGCAACCTCTGCGCGCCGGTCCGGCCGCCTCAGCGCTCCGGGCGCGCCCGTGCGGCGCCGCCGCGCGCCGGGTGGCAACGCGGGCCCCGAGACAAGGGTTCCGGCGCCTCCGCCAAAACGGGTCCGAGTCTCATGCGGAGGTAAAAGTGAGAACGGCCCCGTCCCTGGGTGGGCTCGAACCACCAACCTTTCGGTTAACAGCCGAACGCGCTAACCGATTGCGCCACAGAGACCACACCGCCCCCACCGCGCGCGCCGCTCTCCGCTCCCCGCCGCGCGCGGGCGCCGGCACCGGCTCCGCCCCAACCCGCAGCCAAGTGGGGCAGAAATCCGTTCCAGAGGCCGAAATAGCTCAGTTGGGAGAGCGTTAGACTGAAGATCTAAAGGTCCCTGGTTCGATCCCGGGTTTCGGCAGGTAGTTTTGTCACTGCCAATTGATAAAGAGCAAGGCGCATTTGTGAGAGCGTTTTATTCCCGCTTCAATTATCAACTAACTGTTCTACTAACCCCACGCAGCTTTGAGAAGAGCAGCACCCAAAGAAGAGCAGCAGGAGCAGTTCCCAGCAGCCGCCCCCAGGAGCCTACAGGGCTTTTAAAGACTCAAAGCCTTTGAAGGCTGCCCCAGGCTGCAAAGTCCACAGGAGCACTGAGACTCAATATACGTTACCATTGCTAAGATTAAATTATACTCAAATATATCAGAATCAATACACCATTTTATATTTTCCTCCTTTAAATTCTTGTCAGATCTTTAATATTACTACTTGTAAATCAAATCATGGTGCTGTCAGACTGGTAAAGAGCTCAGTGGTTGACTGTAGCAAACGTGAACATGTCACTGTTCCTTTTCCGGCTCATAGTTATAAATCACACCGCAGGTTTGCTGGAGGTAACTATCTGCAAGGGACTACACTTCCCACAAAAGTCTGACAGGGAACAGAGCCCAAATAAGATGGACAAAACAGAGTGGGGAGCTGTGATAATCAATAAATACAGTATTTATAAAAACAGTATTCAAGACTGTTTAGCCTTTAAGTGCAAATATGAAGTTTTTTGATCATTTTAAAGGAGGAAGTGAATTCCTCCAGTGAAGCTCAGTTGTCCCATCAAAAACAAAAACCACAAAAAATCCTTTGACACTTAGGTTTCATCACTAGGCACCATTTTATTTCCCATTTTCAAGCACAGGTAGAGTAAGAATAATCCACCCTTTGCAAAGATCTCCAGACAGCATATCCATTAGCAGTACAGTTACCAAGGAATACGTGGCTATATAATTTACTAGCACGTGTTTAATAACTGCTGACCTTTGTCAGAGCTATTTGGCCACAAATAAAATAAAAAAATAAAAACCATAAAGAAAATTTAATACAAGAGTTCCATTATGTAGTTTTGCAAAACCTTTGCTGTTCTCCTGGCAACTCTTGTTTCAAGCACAGCAAGAGGCTGACCATAACTGGCTGGCAGTTACAGTGTCATAGTGTTACTACAGGTTTATACATTGCCTTTTAAATTGTCCTTTACAGAAAATTCAGCATGGCAGAAACAAAGAAAGTAAAATGCAGTCCCACTAGGCAAAATTTAGAGCAAGGAATGAACATACAATTGTATCTTCTTTGAGGGCAACGCAGTATTATATGATTTGTTACATCTTTCGAAGGCTATTTACATTCTGACATAAAAAAGTAAAAAAAAAAAAAAAAAAATCACACATTTATACAGGCAACCACTTCTCCATTATATACATCCAATGCCACTGTAGACTCAGGAAGTGCCTATGACTACTTATTTGCTCTCTTCAGACACTAGTTCAGTCTCCCGCTTCTTTCTTTCTAAAATTTCTTCATCAAATATTTCTCTTTCCCTGAAAAAAAAAAGATATTATAGAAGTTCTGCAGTGAAAATAAACTTACCATGTTAAAAAGGGTGCAGTGTGTTAATATAACTCAGTAAGAATCTTCCCATGTTTAATTACTTCACAAAAGGAATGTAGATCTTGCAGAGAAAAGGGTACTGACTTCGAAGGGCACCTCTTTCTCATACTTTTCCTTATGAATAGCAAATGAAAATATCAAAAATAAAAGATACCTTTTGCTCACAGATGGTCCTTTTATGTATTTTTCTTCTGCCTTCTCGTAATCTATGTCATCCACAGCAGAAATTGCATAAATGATGGCCTATAAGAGGATTTTTAGTTCATTGATATGGTGAAACAAAGACTAAACTACAATTACAGTTGTTTGAAATGGTTTCAGCAGGTTAGTAAACTTTTATAGTAAACCAAAATGATTTTGATTCTTCAATCAGGTTAGAAAACCTGCATGAAACTGTTCACTGTGCACTTAAAGCTCTCCAACAAAAAACAAACTTTTCATACATTTAGGAAAACATTTTTAAAAACAGCTTGAATTATTCTTAATCTAATTTCTACTGAAAAAAACAAAAAAGTTCACCTAGGCCCTACCAACGACATGAAGTCTGCAAAAGTACAACTAAAAAGAGAAGACAAACAAGGACCCACAAACCTCGAAGAAGAACTCTACAAAAAGTTTCATCAGTAATAATCCTAACATACAAGAAAGCAATCAGTCCCCCTTTAAAATAAGCTAAAGCCTGTCAGACACTTCAGCTTAAGAGTTTATGCCTCAAATTGGTGGGTAGGCCTCAATATACATCAGTCCTGCCCAAACACCACTCAACTCCTGAGGACAGGAAGTCAGCGAGTGCTATTTACTGATAATTTACTACTGTTATTTACTTACTTCAGGCAAAAGGACATCCGAAATAAACTTTATTCCATCTCCATTTATTCGATGCAGATTTCTGGTGTCTATTTCATGATACACTTGCTTCAAGTAGTTTACTACAAGATCTAATTGCTTTTCATCCTCTAAATAAGTTTCAACACAGGTCACGTACTGACTGGAATTCAAGAATTCTTTCAGCCATCGGGACTGCTTTCTGCTTTTCAAGATAGCCAGGAGATGCTCTTCTGCTCCCTTGCTCTTCACTATAAACTCCACTATTTTTTCATTAGCCTTGTCTCTAGCAGCCCTTGTTCTATCAGGAAGCAGTTTCTTGGAGGGCTTGCTAGGTGAAGTTTCTGGTGAAGATTCTTCAAGCTCTTCTGCTACATATGAAAAGGGCATTTGGACTAAACCCTGAATACCTTCCTTTCTAACTGGATAGCCTGAAAGAAAAGTCACAATCATACGCATTTATATACATGAAGAATAAGGGACTTTCTGGATAGTGGGAGAGGTTTTCCCCCTCCCTCCACTATCGGGGAGAAAATACACATATACATAGTTTTAAAAAGCAATAAGGACTGAAAATTGTGAAAGGCACTCTGAAATTAGTTCACTGCAAAGCGAAATAATTATTTAATTCAAGTATCATATTTAATAATATCTAACTTGTTTTTTGTCATCCTATAGTACAATAATGGCATGTAATTTGAACAGTATCTACTCACTGTTTCTAATTTGTATCAGCACACATTCATCAGCTTATTTACTAAAAGAACACAAGACAGAACCTCACCATGAATCGATCACTTACTGATATCATCAGCAAAATATTCCAAGAAGGATCCCGTAAAAGAATGACAACCTAAAAAGCCCAAAACAGGTTTATCAGTTTAACTAAGTCCTTGCAACAAAACTGACAGGCTTAATGTCACCATCTGTTTTTTTTTTTTCCCCTTCATCTGTATCAGATGGGATAATGTCTAACTTGTGCACTCACCTACTCTAATCCGATAGTCAGAAATCAATCGAATGCACCACTCGATTTCTCGGCTGTAAGCTTCTTTGGCTCGATCCTAAAATACAAGTCATTTACATTAAAAAAAGAAACATACAGAGGTTTTAGATCTAGGACACTAACAGGAAACAGAGCGACACCACGCTCCTCTGGTAGCGGAAGTTGGATATTCTATAAACGTTTTCCTCTCCACGCCCTCAAGGTTTGTATGTGTATCATACTGGCAGTACTTACTATTAAGTCCTGCTTTTCTTCACAGTCAAAGTGCTTGAGATTCCTAAGAGGCACTGAAAAACTTAATGGAACAAGGAAATTCAATCAGTGAATAAACACAGACATACAACTTATTTCCTGCATCTCCCTGAAAATTAGGTTTCACAAGCAGTGCAACAATGGAGTTGCCAGTAGTTTTAGTTTTCGTGACAAGCTAAAATTCAGGATTTTTTTTTTTTTTTTTTAAACAGAGTGATAAATAGCTGTTTAAAACAAAAAACAGAGGAGGGTCCACATTTTTTTTTTACTGCATTCTCCGAGTTTAGCCAACACACACATGGAGTATGCAGAACCCAGCCCTTTTGCTATTGCTCACATAAGTTACATAATTTTGCCTGAATGCCAGACTATCCTGACCAGCAGCTTGGTGAAACAAGCAGCCCTCCAAACCACAGCTTTAAGACCATCTCTCTTGGTACCAAGAAGAAAATGTACAACACTGCCAACAGAAACCCAAGATTTGGAACCTAAGCAAACCCCACATTTACCCCTTTGTCTTGTCATTTGTATTCCCTTCTATCAACAGCACATTTGCCTTCCTGTGTTTCCGCTTCACTTTTTTCACCTGTTGAAAGGATAAAGTCTCTTTAGTTAAACTGCTCTTCACTTTTGGACTTCTTACTGTTTCTGTAAAGGCAGAGAGCTGCTCTTACCACTGCTGGCCAGTATGGGTATCTTCGTAATTTGCACCAGACCAAAATCCCTTCTTCAATTGACTGTGGCTCTGTAACAAAAAGCAACAGAAAAGTGGGAATTCTTTGTCTTCAAAAAAGAGACACAAGATAGTTAACTCACCCTGACTTTTCAACCCCCCTCCACACAAGAAGCATTCCTTTTAAGTCCAGAACAAGTACACTCATGCCTTACCTTGATGAGATAGAATACTAGGAAGTTCTTCATCTTCCTCCTCATCCTCATCTACCAGAGTGGAGAGGAGAGAGAGATTCTCTGGGGAACCTATCTTTGAAGACATATCAGAAGATTCCAACCCTGCCAAAAGCAGCAAACAGCAGTCATGAGCAAAGGTATAAACGATTAAAAGGCTCGGGCTTAGGCCACATAAGATACATAAATATGAAAGTTGCCCACGAAAATGTCAATTACTGTAACATAAGGCTGTTGCATGATGCAGACCCTCAAGATTCTTTGCCTAGGTAAAAGCTAATGATATGAATTCAGTTGTGCTACTACAGATTTGCTTTCCTAGAAGATCAGAAATTAGACATTCCCCAAGATTATGATGGGAAGCAGCAAATCCATAGAAACAGCCTGAAAGGAAACAAGAGACCTACAAATGAATTCATCACATAAAACTGAAGCAGGAGAAACTCCCTGGCTTGAATCAGAAATGAGATCGCACTTGTGTATCAATAGAAAAGGAAAGGAACAAGAATGGGCTTGCTTCAGAGCTCCATATCAGCCGTTCTTTTATAGAACATCAATTTATCTCAACACCGACCAGCACACTAACTAGACACAATTAAAGACAAAATTCCAAGTGAAATTAAACCCTCCAATGACAGGCATAAAATGCTGATGAGTTTTTTTTTCAGTACAAGACACTGAACATATACAGTCAATGTAAATATGGCTTTAGGCATTAGAGCAATGACTTTTTTTTTTCCTCAATAACAAAATATTTTAGCATAAAGCTACCATCTTGAGAACCCCATCAACAACCACAACCCTGTAACATTTCAGTAAGATAAAAACAAACAAACAAAAAGAAACAGTGCTTGGGAATCAAGAGATACGAAGCTTTCCCTTCCCCAAGAGGTATGCTCACCTTCATCTTCCTCAAAGTCAGGCAGCTGGAAGTCCTTTACTTTATTCCTAAGTATGTGTGAAGTATTCTTGTTTTCCTCCTCTGTAAGCTTAGGCCGGAAACTATCAGAAAGATTTCCGCAGTTTGAAGACCCAGGTGAAGACTCAGGGCCATTTCTGCTTTTCCTTTTCCTGCAAGACGGACTCACCCCCATCTCCTGTCTTCTCTGTTTTAAATTCACTGTTTTTTTCCTTCCATCTAGTTTCTTTGCTAGATTTTCACTCTCGTTACTGATACGGCTCTCCAAGTCGTCCTGGGCACATTCACAAGAATCCCACACTGTCCTTCTAGGCTGACCTTTGGTGTTTGCCCTTCGTCTGACAGGCCCTGCTGTGCTGGACTCGCAGGACACAGGCACAGGATTACGTTCTTCAGTAAGGGGGTACACTTGTTCTTTCAGGAAGTTTTTAATACGTGATAGTGGGGATCCTGCACCTCTTGGCCTTTTACTTTCTTGCTTACTTTTCTCCTCCTTTGTCTTGAGGGAGGATTTACTTTTAGTCTGGGACTTTGGCAGCTGCCCGGGCTTGATGTTTTTCTGCTTTGTTTGTGGCTTTGACTCTGTCCTTTTTACACTCTCCGAATCTGATACATTTCCCAAGTTGCTAGTCCTATATTCCAAAGGACTTGTTCTACCTTCATGTGCTTTAGCACTCTCTTCCAAAACAAAAGAATGCATCAACTTTCGTTTTTTTATATCCGTTTTCAGGTTGGGGCTGTTTTTCAGTTGTCTTTTCTTCTTGGGAGTCTGAGACTCCAACTCTTTAGTTACGAGTGACTGACGAGTAGTTACGGGGGTAGATGAGCGAGATCTTGTACTGTGCTTCTGGGATAATTGTGCACTTGGTTCCTCTTCCAAGGGTGGTACTTGCCTGGCCAAGTCATTTTGATTCAGAATATCTAAGGCGATTTTTAGAGAACGGCGATATTTCAGTTCTTCTACAGCCTCACTAAAATTCCTCCCCTCATCTGCTGGAAAAGAGTAAACAAGAACTGTTCTTTGGATACAAGACATGACAAATCATATCTACAGTACTTCTTTTAGCATAAGACAAAATTTAGTACTTAAAGCAGCAATGATTTTTTAAAGGCATAGGATACAGAAAGACAAAAACTGCAAGTTTCAATGCACTTCTCTTATTTTCATGCAAGTACTCAAAAATTTCTTCAACCTTCTTCCCAATGCACAAAGAAAGAGTACAAGTAGCTTTGATAATGTTTTAATGTCTTTCCAAACTCAATGGATAGAACGAAAAAGCAAAAACTTAAAGAAATACACAACACAGGTATAAAAATATTATACACCAGCTCCTTCATTTTTGTGTTTTGCACACAAGAAAGCAAACATTTTGACACATCCTCACCTAACTTAGAGGCAATGCTTTGTATACGTTCTTCCTTCAGTGGCTCAGTATTTGCACAGCTGACACTGATCCTGAAAATGCAACAATGCTGATTAACATTTTAATGCCATGACAGTTTCTTTACAATATAACATTGCGTTCTTCTGGCAATAAAACTTACAATATTTCTCCTCCAAAATCCCATTTTAGAAAGAAAAATTAAAAAAGAAAAAATCAAAACAAACCAAAAAACTCACAACCCCAGTAATTTTCCACTAGACAACAGTATGCTCAGCTCTAGAAAGGTACTAGGTTTTGAGCTAGCCATCTAATCATTTTGCAGTCGGCAAACTCAATTCACACATATATTCAGATGCAGGCATTACAGTATTTTTTTGTATCTAACAACATAAGAATGAGACAACGACAAGGACACTTAACTGTTCTTCCAAGCCAATTATTTCAACTTTAAAAGAAGTTTCCTTTTCATTAGTTACAGACGGTTTTCCAGGAACTCCAGTCTTCGCCAAAATCTACATTAAAAAGGAAATACATGCAGTTAAAATCCTTGGTCAAGTCAGCCAGGCTAAAGGATAGATATGACTAAAGGTTTTTAATATGAATTGCATATAATGAATCATCACCCTATAACATCTTTTTTCATTATTAGTAACTCTACAGGTTAACCTCTGCTTAGAAATACCTAAGTATTTACTTAGAGCAGTTGCTCTCAAAAGCTTAATGCCTATAATTTGAGTAACTCATTTAAGCTGTTAACAACTGCATAGCTTTAAATAGGACAGCATCAGGTGTATCTGTTCACATACACAATAACCAATGATTACCCCTTCTCACAAGCATAACTTCGCCATTCCTATTCTGCTTCATTCTTCTTTAGGTTACGTCACAAAAATCTTCCTGTGTTTGTCCGTCTATTACCTTTGCTGGCCATAGCTGGCTCTTCCACTGGCAAAGAACATACTCCTGCTCTGTCATGACTGTGTTTCATGGAGGAAATACACTCTGAAGCGTTTTGGTCTTTGGCACACTCTGAAGACAAAGACAAAAGAGCCTGAAGAGTCACCCCAAACTTGTCCAAAGTCCCCCTTTTAGAGCAATTCTGGACTGCAAACGGATGCAGAGGGTTCCCGGGGTGTTCTGCGTGCAAGACAGCCGCGCCCTGGGCATTCGCGCCTGCACACCCGTTCCCACAAACGTGGCAGCCTCCAGCGCCAGCACAAGGAGGCCTCGCTGGGCAGCGGGACCAACACGGTGGAGCCAGGGACCCCGCGGGGGGGGGGCAGTACCGGGAAGAGCAGCCCCTGCTACCAACGCTCACACGAACGCTTTTAGCCCGCAAGTTTAACGATTTTAATCGTGGGCTTTTAAAGCCACAACTCGCACGGGTTTTGCGACACACGGCGAGCGCGGCCCTCGCACCATTTTTACAAGCCTCGTAACGTGAAAGCCATTTCTTTTCGGGCCTTCTCGAGCAAACCTCTTGCGTACTCACAAGGGCGAAGGCGCAGGCTCCGCCGGCACCCTGCGTGCTGCTCCTTCGGACAAGAGACGTCGAGAAGCGACCGTTACCGGGGCCGGGACACGAGCCCGCCCGGTGCTCGCGGCGGCCCCTTTCCCTCCCGTCCCGTCTGGGCCTCGTATCCCCCAGGCACGAGGACAGAGGGTCTCGTCGCCCCCACTCTCGCGGGTCGGGTCGCCCCCTCCCCGTCACCTCACGGCCAGGGAGGAGGGGCGGCCCTGACCCTTGTTTACCGAGCGCGAGGCGGGCGCACCCGCCCCGCCGCCTCCCTCCATTGCCCGCCCGCCGCGCCGCGCCGCGCACGCGCCGCCCGCCCCCCAGCGACGGCGCGGCCAATCAGCGGACGCTCCCCTCCCCCCTGCGGCAGGACACGCCCCCGCCCAGACAGCCAATCGGAGTGCTCCGCCCTCTCCCTCCTCCCCGCACGCGAGGGGCTTCCTCCTTACTGTACTTCCTCGGGGGCGGGGTCAGCGGGGCGTCATTTCCTGAGGCGGTGACGTCATGGCGCGGCGTGATGCAAGTTGTTTCCGAGGCAACGGGGCCGGGCCCCGTAACGGTTCCGCGGGGCCGCTTTTCCCGCCGAAATGGGCATTTTTTTTTCCCGCTTTTAATTCCCTTTATTTCTAGGCTCGGTTTTGCTGCAAGTGGGGAACATCCCCCTCCACAGCTGCCGCGTCGAGTGGCCCTGAGAGCCCAGCCCTTGGCGAGCTGCAGGCCCCAGGGGGAGACAGGAAAAGTGGGAAAAACTGGGAAAAATGGGGGAAAGGGGCTGCAGTCCTGGGCACTGCAGGAAGGACAGCACCAGGCCCCAAAAGAGAGCTCTAAAACACCCTGATCTGCAGAGCAAACTGGCCTGACCCACCCCCACAATTCTGCTTCTCCTGCCCTTAAAACCCAACGTTTCTGACAAAACAGCCGCTGTCCCTCGGCCACCGTTCCCAGGAGGCTGGAGCGGGAGGCAGGAGCGGCTGGGGGGGAGTCTCCCTTGCTGAACAGTTTCCTTCCAACTCCCCCCTCCTACTGCCATGGGAACATTCCCGGCTCCAGCCCCTGCAAGCAGCCCAGGGACTTCCGGGCCATCCCTTGGATGCTGCTCCGTGGCTCGGGAAGCGGGAAAGAAACAACATTTCTTGTGTTGCATATATATGCATATATATATGCATTTCATATACACACACACACACACACACACATATACATATATATATTTAAGAGTGAGTTGGGCCACACAAGCCCTTTGTGCCAATGAAGCAAATCCAGAATTAACAGGTCTCTCTTAAAAATACGTCAAAATGCATTTTTAATGGAAAATAGAGAATTTCATGGTTCTTAAGACTTTTGTGACACTGCGAATTTCATGGGGCTTTAATCATTACCTTCCTAGGCTGGGTGACAAGCCGTGATACCCTGCAGGGTGAGAGACACTATGTGGCAGCTTATTGCATTATAATAATACACGGAAGCACTATAATTTTCCTATTAACTTCAAAAGTTTACAATCCTATTATCATCTGCTGTTGAGGTTGGTGCTGAACAATAGCGAATGTATAGAAGGTGCCGATGTAAATGATGAGATGGAGTATCCTTTTTTTTTTCCCTCCTCTTTTTTTTTCCCCTTGAAAGCACTTGAACTTGGGAGTGAGCAGAAGGCAAATAAAAAAAGTGATTTAAATGATAAAACCGCCCAACTCGGCCTGCCTGGGTCTCACCTGCAGCGCTGCCTCTCCCAGAAGGACTAGGGCACAGAGAGCGCAGGAATTCTGTTTCCTATCACATTCCCGCTGCCGCAGCAGGAAGGTCCCTCCTTGATGCGGTTTTGCAGTTCTCATCCCCGTTGTGGTTGTGTGAAAACCAGAGCAACCGGCCCGGCCTGGAGGGTCTTTTCCATCCCAGTGTCCTGACCCTGGGACCTCAGGGGCCTCAGGACAGGGATCTCCCTAAATTGTCCCACTTCCAGGGCATTTCCAACATATTTCCCCAGGGAGAGGATCAGAAGGAGCTGAGAGCACCCAGAGCTTCCAGCTTTTCCCTCGCTGAAAAAAAAAAAAAAAAAAAAAAAAAAAAAAGGAGGGAAAAAGAAAAAAGGCGTTACTGCAGCTCTAGGCCCACTCGGGTGCTCCCCACTCCACTCTGGCTCTGGCTCCAGCTCTGCGGAAAAGGATCCTCCCTGCTTGCCGCTTCCCTGCTCAATCCCGCCTGCCTTTGGGGAGGGTCTCCGCAGTTTTGCCCCGGCATCATCAACACCGCTGGGCTCCGGATGCTGCAGGGATGCAGGAACCAGGGACGTGGGACTGGGCACCCTCCCGGGCAGCGCCACCGTCCGTCGCCGCTTTTCCGCCTGGTCGGCCCTGCCGCCACACGGGTATCGCCGACACTGCAGGCACTGGCCCCGCGGCCGGACCGGGCGAGGCGGAACCGGGCGAGGCGGAACCGGGCGGGGCGGGCGCTCCGCGGCCGCCGGTGCCGCCCCCGGGCGCCCGGGGCTGGCGCGGCGGCTCCCGGCGCGGCCGCGCGGTGGCGCCGTCGCCCTCTGGATGCGCCGCGCCGGAGAGGGGCGGGATTGGGTGGGATTACGATGGGATTGGGATGAAATTAGGTGGGATTAGGGTGGGAGTGGGGTAGAACTAGGTGGGATTGGAGTGAGCGTGAGAATGGGCGTGGAGTTGGATATGGGGTTGGATTTGGGCAGGATTGGGTGGTCATGCAGTGGGATGTGGGGTGGGATTTGGGCAGGATTGGGTGGGTGTGTGGTGGGATGTGAGGTAGGATTTGGTGGGAGTCTCTGGGCTGGAGCAGGGGGAGCAGGAACACCAGCTGCCCCCTCTTACCCACAAGCCAGGGCAGAGCATCAACTCCTCCACTTCCCTCTGGCAGCTCCCAGGGCCACCGGCATCAGCTGCCCCGCAGAGGAAGCACCTGCTGCCTCCTTGGGCTTCTCCCTTCTCCCTCCTCTCTCTCTCCCTCTTTTATTTTTTAGCTAAGAAATGAGTTGTCTTCCCACAGATGTGACTAAAAGCACTCTGGAAATGTCAGGCAGTGCTGGAGAGGGAGCCAGATAGCGTTTAGCTTTAGGCAAAAGAATAGATTTCCTCAGTGCTAATTCATATGTATAAGCCTCAGGTGCCAGGTGCACACGGGGACTTGTTCTCATAGGGGAGATTAAAGAGCATGTCCCACTCGTCTCTGCTGGTCATTCCCAAATGGAATAAGATGGTCATTCACTTAAGATCAGGGTGGAAATGGGAGGTGGTGGTTGGACAGTGTTACCAGGGCCGCATTGTGGGGACACATCTGGCACTGGAGCCACCCCAGGATGCCTGGGCTTCTGTCAGCGCCTTCCTTCTCCCCAGCCCATAGAGCAAAAGGTCCAAAAGACCCAAATTGCTGCAAAATGCAGCCAGGGGCCTTCGCCCACTTCATTGCTCTGCAGGAACGAGCTGCAGGCATGGAATTCCCTGTGCTGAATCCTGTGGGATAATCCCAGAGGGCCCCACCACAGAGCAGCCTGGTGGGGACAGACGCGGCACAGCGATGAATCCAGCAGAAGGTGTTTTCCTGCCTGCACTTCCCGGGCTGGTGCCCACTGATTAAAAGCAAATAAACTGAGCTCTTCCCACCACGGCAGCTTGCAAATTTGAGAACTTTTAGGGTTTTAGTTGCTTTTCTTTTTTTTTTGCAATCATGTTTGCAAATCTGCTGAGTAGCTCCAGAGAGAGCCGACGTGTAAACACATGTGAGAAAAAATATATATATATATTTATAGTGCCAGGGGTCTTAGGGGCAGGAATTAGGGGGAGGAAGGAGGAAAAAGCCCAAGAGGGGATGGAGGGGGGTGGAAAGGGAAAAAGGCAAAGGGAGGCACGAGACAATGGCCAACGGCGCCCGGGGACTTCCTGAGGGGTTTTAGAAATTCAAAACGCGCTGTGGAGCCTCAAAGCAGTGTCAGTCACGGCCCGGGTGCGGGGATCGCAGGGGCTGCGGGTAGACAATACCAGATTGTGTGGGAAAGGTGGGAAAATCGGGGGTCTCAGCGGCTCCCGCGCGCCACGGCGGTTCCGCTAGTCAAGCACGCGTTCCACATGAATCGATTCTGGACAGAGCCGCGCCGTAATCCCCTCCCGCCTCGCTATGACAACTTGAAGGAGAATTCGGCGGCTGAGTGACAGCAGACAGAGAGCTGACAAGGCCAAAGACCACAGGACTTTCCTTTTCTTGCCTTTTTTTCCTTTTTATTTTTTTTTTTCCTTTTTCCCTTCCCTCCCCCCAGCCCTAGTAACTTTCTGGGCACCGTCTCTCTTGTGCCCACAACGTGCTTCCCGAGCCCCCAAAGCGCTGTCGCTTTTCCCTCTTTTGGCATCCTTAAAGTGGCCAGACAAGAGCATAGACCTCCCAAAAGCCCAGTGGGAATTCCTGTTGGAAAAGGATGAGCTGGAGCGATGCTGCACCCAGCACCTGCTCGGAAGCATGGGGAAGTGCTTCGCATCGCAGCACACCTGAGCTGCAACAGAAAGCAGAGCAGAGCATGGCCCTGTTGAACAGTGCAGCACAGCCCTGCGTGGCGCAACAAATCATTGCATGGGGCAACAGAGCCCTGCACACTGCAGCAAGGCCCTGCACGGCCCTGCAATGCTGCAGCTTGCAAGCCAGTGCTGCTGCTGCGCTTATCAGGGCACCACCAGCCGCTGCTGCCCTTGTTACTCCTCTGCCCCTGACCCTGTCCAGGGGCTCCGGCACCTTCCCCTTCCCGCCTGGAAAGGCCACAGAAGCCAGGGCAGATCCCACGGCACAGGCCACTCTTGCAGTGCAGGAGCAGGGATGAATGGAGTTTGAGTGCAACTCCGCATCCACGGGGTGGGAAGGAAGTCAGGAGAGATTGAGCAGCTCTGGAATCCTCCTTAAAGGTCATGGCAGTGGCTCCGGCCCCTTCTGCAGCCCTGGAGCTGGTGGTCCCAGCCTGGGGCCATCTCGCACCCCGAGCGGTGATTGGTGCCCAGCTCCTTGTTAACCATCATCCCAAGGACACAAGGTGCCGTCGGTGGCCCCAGCCCAGCCCTGGGAAGCGCGAGGCACGAAGGAAACTCTCGGGAATGCCTGTGTCTGCTGTCGGGGTGTTCGGGCACGCTCCGTGCTCAGAGATGAGCGGCTTGTTGCAAGAAAATCAATTTTACAGTTACAGGAGCAGAATAAATAGAGGTGGTTGCGTTAACGCCGGAGGGAGGGCTGGCCCCGTATCGCAGTCTGGCTCATGGGCTGAGTGTGGCCACTGCAAGGGCTGCTTTCCTTGGGATAAGGAGGAAATACAACCATGGCCATCCCCTTGCTCCCATCCCTGCAAACCCCGCAGATCCATGGACGTTCTGATGGAGCCAGTGCAAGGTGGGAGCACAGCCAGACCCGACACACACACATCTATGCTGCAGCTCTGCAGGGACTAGGGGGGTCACAGCGCTGCTGCCCCGTGGGATTTTCCTTCCCTTTGCTTTTCATATGAGGATGGTTCCCAGCCCAAATCCTCCAATTGTCGCTGTCTGATTTGGCAGGCAGCCCTATGCTCTTTGTAAGAGATGGAAAAAAAGGAAGGAAATAAACCCCCTCTGGGGGTTATTATAGGATATTTTTAATTGAAAACAATTCCCTGTACCACAGGTCGACTCCTCAGTGGCACAATCGGCACCCCTCGAGGCTGGGCCCAGCTCTCTCCCCTATTCCACTTCTCCCTGCAGGGTTCCCACCTGGCACCATGGAGCAACCTGAGGTGGGAAATCACGGTCCACAGTGGGATCAGCTCCTCCAGAGATGCTCCATATCTTCCCTGCCCGACGGATGGATTCCCATCACTGTATTTCCTTGCAGCAGATTGAAAAGCAGCTTTGGGGAGCGGGGGGCAGTGAGCGCTGGCCCTGCTGCTGCCCCCTGGAGCAAAGAGAGCCCAGGTGAGCAGCCGCTTGTGCTGCCTGGGAGACCCGCGGAGCCGGCCGGGTGCTGGGGCCACCAGGAGGGCGAGTCTGGCTGGCAGAGCCCTTGGCTGCTTCCCCTTCCAGGCACAGGATGCCCCTGAATGCCCTGGCTGAGCCCCCCCATGCCCGAGGGCAGGGGGAACAGCACCTCCTCAAAGATGGTTAGTTAAGTGGCCTGGATGATTTCCTAGAGCTGGCTCTTCTAGATTAAAAAAAAATAGAGAGAGAGAGAAGTTGCCTCAAAGCCTCCATTCTCTGTGGTCTGGGGAGAGAGGAAGGTCTCTGGGTGCATTAGCATTTATATAGCTGTGCCTCGCATTTCAAACCCCCTTTATCTCTATTAGCACCTAATAAAGACAGAGCTTTGCTCTAATTCATAATTATAGCACTGGATAGAAATATTTGTGTTTCTATTCCCTGGGAGCCCCTCAGCTGTGCGTGCGACGCTCCCCGCTGCTGCCTGCCCTGTGCTGGGTGGACAGGACACGGCCACGGACTCTGCGCAGCCCGGCCCGTCCTGCGGCAAGGCCAGCGCTGCCTGCAAGGGGGGACTCGCACGGGGCTGCAGGAATCACTCGCACAAGGGGCTCCCTCGCGCACATTCCTGTGCCCAAGGATGCCGGGGAAACCGCTGCAGGTGCACGACGGTCCAACCCATCTCTCACAGCATCTACGTATCCATCCACTGTTTTATTCGCTGCTGCATCCTGGCCCCAGCGACACCCAGCTCCGCTGGGGCCGCACCGCCCTGGCCTGTGGCCCTTGTTGCGCATTCAGCGCCTCCCGTGCACAAATGTGCTTAAACTGCCTTAAGTGTTTCAGCGGGACGCGGGCGCTCACGGCACAGCGCGGCATTACCACGGCATTAGGAGCGCGGTATCGATCCTAATCCCTGCTTCAAAAATAGGATTATGGAATGGGGAGGATGGAGCCAGGGCCCCACAGCACCAGCTGCACAAAACCCCCAAGGGCTCAGGGTCCCCCCAGCCACGGCCCCTCCCTTGCCAATCCCTGTGGCTTTGCCCATTTTTGCTATTACTCCAATTTCTCCCGAGACCTCCTGGGAGTCCTTGTGTCCAGGAACCAGGTCCAGTTCCCAATAGGGAATGTGGCCAACAGGCTCATCTGGGGTCCAAATGGGGGGGTGCAAACACTGCTCCATTCCCCCACCCAGGCCTCATCCCTGCCCTGCTGCTTTGGGGGGATATGGACATCAGGGCCCCGTGGGCGCCCCCTCCACCACCTCCCCTTCCCGTCTCGCTCGTAATCGCCTCCTCTGCGGTTCTAATCCTGCTGCTCCCAACTGGGCTGGGTTTTCCTCTCCTCCACTCGCTCCCTTCCTTCTTCCCTCCCTTCTCCCCCCCGCAAGACAAATTACCCTTAATGATATGCTGAAGGCCATGACACCCGTGTTGTCTCTTTGTCATCCTTCGCGGTGCAGTGTGAGAAGATAATACCAAGCGCGGCACTTATCTGCAATTGCGAGCCAAGACAACGCGCTAATCCCTTAATACTGGCGCGGCGCGGGGCTCCTGCGGCTGCCGCCGGCTCCGTGGCCCGAGCCCGGCACTCACGGACATGGCAGCGGCGGGAGAAAGGAATAAGCCAGAAAGGGGGGAGGGAAAAATATAAAAAAGAAAGAAAGAAAGAAAAGTAAAAAGCCATAAAGCGAAGCTGGAGGTGCAAAATCGCAGGGTGAAGCGCGGTGCAAATGGCACCAGATCTGCACCCCACTTGCCTGGTTCTGTGGGAGTCATGGCTGGGAAGAGCCCGCAAGCCAGGAGGGATTTGGCCAGAACCTGCCTGGATCAAAGTCCTCATCCGAGTGAAAATCCAGCTGATCCACCAGGATCACTCGCCCTGTGGAGCGGGTTCATTCACTCCGGCTCCATCCGCAGCCATCACTCGGATCACATCTCGCTTCCAGGATGGGCAGAGCTCCTGAGGTCAGAGCAGGATTTGTTCCCATGAACTACCAAGATTCCAGTCCTGGATACCTGGAATGAAAGTTGGTGATCAAGAGGGACTCCAGCCTCCCCACACCCAGATGCTGGAGCCCAGGGAGCGGCAGATGTGGTACCATCCCTGCCCCAGTTCTAAGAACAGCAGTGATGTAAAATTGGTGCTAAAGGAGGCTGGGGCCTGTGAAAACCATTTCAGACATTGGCAGCCATCCGTGCAGTGCTCCGACCCTCACGGGCGCCTGGCTGCTCCGGACAATCTCGCGCCCGGCTGGGTCAAGCTACCAGCAAAACTCACTGCATCCCAGGGCTCCACCCCCCCTGCGGGAGCTAAACAAACACTTTAGGGCCTTAGATCCACCAGACTCCATTAACTAGTTACTAATGAGGATCTGTCTCAGCTGTATGCTTGCTAGTTTCCTTTTTTTTTTTTTTTTTAAATCTATTTCCAATCCCAAATGTTGAAAGAACCATGAATCCGGGCCACCAAAATTGCCAGAACAAACCCAGAATAGGCTTCTTTTCCTGCCCACGAGGCTGCACTGAGCTCAGCACCGGTGCCCGGCTCCTGCTTCAAGCCTTCCTACCACAGCCGCTTGCACACGCAGGGAGCACCGGCTGGATGCACCCACCCGGCCAGTTCTGCCAAACTCCCCAGCAACAAACACAGCAAAATCAGTGCTTGGAACTGAAGAGCAGGAGGGCGAGGGAAAGAGAGGCCAGGTTGCAGCCCCACGGCAGTGACACCGGGACCCCATGTCTGGCCACGAGTGCTGCCTCCCATAAGAAAGTGCCATCAACAGTTGCATATTAATTACCTCGATAGCCACTGTTCTGTGTGAGGATGGTAATTAAGCGCTTCCCGTCATGAGCACATGCCCGGCAGAGCTGCCGGGCAGGGAAGAGGCAGGTCTCCCAAGCAAGCCACTCGCACGACATTTACTTTTATTTTATTATAAAAAAATACAGACTCCAGACCGGGGGTGGGGGATGCTGTTGGCATCAGCACGACGTCGACGACCACAGCGGCGAGTCTACAGACGAAGCGGGGCTGCACGGAGACCATGAGCACAGGCGAAACCACACAAACCACCCCAAACCCGCGCCCGCCCGCACCCCCGCCGGCACCCCCAGCGGCACCCAAGCGTTTGCTTCCTCACTTTTTTTTTTTTTTTGCTTTTTTTTTGTCTTAATTCTCTCACAGTTGCTGTACACAATATAGATATTTATATATATAATCTATATATATATAAAACACAGACCGAAGGCCAGGCTTTGCCACTGCTGCGGGCACCGTGGCCAGCTGGATTGGGGCCCAGGGCCCTCCCAGGGCAGGGACATCGCGGGACTGTCACTTGCCTTTACCTCCCACGACCTGGTCTAGACACATGGAGGGAGACGGGATGGGACAGGACTGGGGGGATGGCAGGGAATGCAATTTTCCTTTTTTTTTTGTATTTTTTGGATGGTCGAGATGAGACTTATTGCAAGATTTCAGCTTCCTAGTCTAAAAAATAAAAATAAAATAGAAATAAAATAATCCCCTTCCATAAAATTCATTCTCAACAATACATAAAAAAAAAGGTCACAGTATAGCGCCTGCTGGCTGTATTTACAGGGATGGGGTGGCCCCGCGGGAAGGCTCCGGTGTGCGCATGGAAGCGGCATCTGTGGAAAGGTTTCCACTGAGTTCATACCGTTATCTGCTGTCTTCCTACGGCGGGGCACTCTGGGCCGGATTGCCTGGAGCTGCGACTGGAGCAGGGTCATTGCTGCGGAGCTGCCAGACTTTAAGGCAAGCAGGGCCGGGAGCTGCGGCAGGGAAGCGCTGACCCCCACTGCGGCTCGGCACCCACCTCCATGTGGGATTTGTTTTAATGCGGATCAGGAAAGGGGAAACCCATCCCATCGGCAGCCTGGTGGCTCCCGGGGGCTGCGCCCAGTGGGGGCAGATCCAGAGGTCGGGATGCACTGGGAGAGGAGGGAGCTGGGTCCTGCTCCCAGTCGGCTCCGGGGGGAGCATCGCCCCGCCGGCGGGGCCGGCGCTGCCCCCGGGCTCCTCCAGCCTCCATGGAGAGCACATTGGGAATGCCGCCGGCCGCCACCCCGTGTCCGTGGGTGCTGCTCAGTGTCCATCCGTCTACCCCAGCTCCATGTCCACAGGGCTGGCAGCCTGCACACGCTCGGCACGCTGCACCGGGAGCACGCGGCTGGCAGAGCCCAAGCCTCGGCACCATCCTCAGCTTCTGTGTGCGGCTCTGGCACCAGCTCCCCCTCCAGTCACCGGCAAACGGAGAGCAGTTCCTGCCTCGCTGGTCAGTTCAGAGCACTCAGGCTGGAGCCAAACCAGCAGATTGAACCAAAATAAAAAAGAAATCCGTCAAAAAGGACTCAATTTGGCCTAGGAGAGTAGAAAGCAACATCATCCAGGAGCCCCATCCTGCCGGGAAGGCACCCACAGGCTGTGTGCAGCATCCGCCCCCGTGGTGGCCCGGGGCTTCCCGCTGCTCCAGGGGCTGGGGCTGGCTGTGCTCCTGGGGTGCACATGGATTAGGGCCGTGCCGGGCGCATCCAGCGGCAACCCGGGCCGACGCGGCGGGTGGGAGAGCAGAGCGAGCAGCGAGCGCAGCACTCCGGGGCGGTCCCTCCGCGGGAGCTACGAGCCCAGCAGTGTCCAGGCGACAGGCACCACGGCAAGCACGGCCGGCGGCACCTGCAGGCTGCGGCACGAGTTGTTGCTGGTGAAAATCGGCTCTGGAGACTCGTACAGGGAGTCGTCTGCGGGAGGAGAGCACAGTGTGAGCTCGGACGCGCTTCTGCAAGCCGCAGCCCACCAGCCCGGGCGCTTTTCCCAAGAAAAATCCTTGGCTAAAGGGATCAGGCAGCGAGGATCACTGCTGTCAAAACGGGATTAGGCAGCAGCAACTCTGTGGCCCCTGAGCCACACGGGAATCGGCACCGTGGGCTGGGATCAGCCGGAGCCTCTGGGGCTCCAGGATGCGGCCCCCTCCCAGGCAGCGCTGCACCTAGCACAGCACCCCCCAACGCTACAGGAATGCTGCCGAACCAGGAGGAGACTTCTCTTCTCCCTGTTATGTGCTGGACCTGAACTGAACAGAATGAGTTTTTACAGGGGGGTTCATTGTATTGGGTCTTATTTTAAAGCTGTGCGAATTAAAATTAAAAAAAATAAAGGAGAAAGATATCCTTGTAAATGGTGACATTTCGCAGGCACTCAGCCCTTCCCCCGGGAGAGCCGCTGCCATTTGCTAATTACACGTTAACAGGAGAAGAAAATTATTAATTTGTTTTTTTAAATGGCTGAGTTATACGATGCTGACAAGTAGCCAGTGCGCAGAGAGCAACACTAGTGGTTTTTCCTCTTTCCTATCCGACTCGCAGTGGCGAACGCCCACGGTCAAGACCTATGTGGAGGAAACTGCTCCCAACCCCGCAGAAAGGGACCCAAAGGGGCTCTGGAGCTCCCATCCTCCCCTGATCCCGCAGGACGTTCCCGGCAGTCTCCGAAGGTGAGCAGAGACTGGGTGCTCTCAGTGCGTGTCAGGGCGGAGCAGTCCTGTGTTACTGCATTGCACAGCGTCCCGCATCCCATATCCTGCATCCAAGGCCATCCCGTGCCTGCACTTACTTGTTGGCCTCACGTAAACCTTGAGCTTCAGGCAGGGCCGATCGACGGTGTTGGGGGGAGAGGCGGCTGTGGAGGAACAGAGAGGAGAGCGGCATGAGCACGGACTGTCCTAAACACCCCCATGGCCTCCAAAGCCCCTTGCTCAGCCTCTCAGTACTCATACTGAATGGCACGGGGTGTGCATCACATGTGCACGCTGCACGCTGAGCACAGCATGCACTCCATGCACACCCTGCACACAGGATACATCACACACACTGAGTGCTCCTTGCACACCCTGCACACCGTGCACACTGCACACTCCATGTACACCCTGCACGCAGGACACACCGTGCACACTGTGCACTCCATGCATACAGGACACACCATGTGCACTGCACACTCCATGCACACCCTGCACGCAGGCCATGTGCCTTGGCTGTAGCAATCAAAATGGAGATAAAGCCCAGCATGAGAATTATGCTCGTTGGAGGAGATAAAGGGAGCAATTGCAATAAATCTCCTGGCCAGAGCCCCCTCACAAGAGGAAAGGATGCAATATATATATATATATATATATATTTATTTTTTTTTTTTTTTTTCCCAAAGAACTTTGCTTTCTCTCTTTTTTCAGGAGCTGCAGGCGGCAGGCTTGGATGTCCCAGCAGCCTGGGGACAGCAGTGGGGCCAGGGCATAGCCACATGCTCGTGCGCTCCCTCTGCTTTCTTAGTATCTCCCACATCCTCCCTTCTCTCCTCCTTTGCATGATGCCCGAACAGGGAAATGCGCCTGACCGCGGGAGACACCGGCGCGGCGGCGGCTGCCCCGAGCCGGCTGCAGCCACGGGTTAATGGGGCTCCAATCTGCGAGCTCCGCCAGGACGTAATTTCTTTTCTTTCATGTCTGCTAAATAGGGCTCCTCAAAGAGGCATAATTTCTAATGTTCCGCATGATGGGAATTCTAACCGGGTTAGCAACGATCAGCTCCACCATTTACTTCTGTGTAATCTTGCCCTAACGACATTAAAAATAAAAAAAAAAAAATAAAATAAAATAAAATGGGGCTGGGCGAGGGGGGGGGTGGAGTTGGAGCTGCAGTTATTTCACGAGTGACATTTTCCAGGGAGAGAGAAGTGGGGGGGAAATGGTAATTTAATATAGATAAAAGGAACAAATTAAGTGGGCTGAAAACACATGCTTTAGGAAAAAAGGGGAGAAATGCTAAGGAGTAGCGTGGTGCCGGCGGCTCGCGGCATCCCCGCGCCAGGGTCACCAGCTCTCCTTCATTCGCCTTTTGCTGCCCTATTTTGCTGGCACGAAGCCCGTCCCCGCTGACCCGTGGCGCGCGGTGCACGCACAGATGTAGTAGTACTCGTGGCCCGGGCGGAACTCGAAGCCCAGCGAGAAGGGGGTGAAGAGCTGGAACTTCTCGGAGAACTTGAGGGGGCCGCCGGGCGCTGCGGGCCGGTTGCACTCCCAGCGCTTGAAGCCCTTCTGGCGGTGCTCGCAGGCCGCGTGACCCTCGCCGTTCACCATGTAGAGCACATAGCGCTCCATGCGCTCGGCGGGCAGCGGCTCCTCGTAGTGCGGGCAGTAGATGTCCAGGTAGTCATTGATGCTCACCTCCACCGTGTAGTCACCGCCGTGGAACCTGCGGGGCGAAGGGCAGCGTGAGCACGGCGAGCGTGCAGCGAGTGTGCAGCGAGTGCACAGTGAGCACGCAACGAGCGTGCAACGAGTGTGCAACGAGTGTGCAACGAGTGTGCAGCGATCGCAGCATCCTTGCGGCACCATGGGCACCCAGCACTGAAGCCAGCGACGTGGGACAAGGCAGGGAGCCACAGTAAGGACACAGGATCATCATTCCCTGCAATGCCATCGAGGCTTTTGGCTGGAGTGCCACAATCCTGTTGGAATTTGCATTTTTGGTCCTGATTTTCTGGGAGATTAAGGGATTAGCGGGGCTGGAAAAGGGCTCCGCAGCAGGCCGGCACTTCCCGCCTCTGGCTGCAAGGTTTCCCATGGGCAGTGGCTGCCTTCCCGCTCCTGCGCGCTCATCCCAGTGCTGGGAAGACCGGCAGCGCACCCGGGGCTCCGGTACCTGCACGAGCTGCTTCTCCATGAACCATCAGCAAATCCATGAACCGGGGCCGGGGCGCGGAGCATGGCGGGGCCAGGACACGAGGCCCTGAGCACCCCCAGGAGCAGAGAAGGGGGCTGAGAACGCACCCAACTCATCACACGGGACACCCAAGCACGATTCTCCTGCCCACCCCACCTGCCAACACCCCCCAAACGGAGGTGTCGAAAGCCCCCCATGTTCGGGCGCTCCTGCACTCACTCCCGCGGGGCCAGGCGCTGCCTCCTCCGCGCAGCGCGCGGCCAACCCTGCCCCCGGCAAGGTAACACTGCAAAATTCACACAAAGGGCTGCAATTTGCAGGGAAACAGATTTCAAATGCATACAAAACAATGCAGGGACAAAAACACACCCCCCTTTCCCTCGCTCCTTTTTATTTGAAAAAATTATTTATTTTAATGATTGTTATTAAAGCCCAAGCTAAGATGATCGCAACAGAAGGGCTTGGGCTTATCAAGGGAATAATAATAATAATTATATTTTTTGAAAAAAAAAATCCACCAACTCCAAGGGCCTTGGCTGGACTGACAAATTGCTGAATTAAAGCTGATTAGTGGTGATAAATGGCAGCACCGGAGCCGCACGCTGGCGGGGGCGGCGGCGCGAGAGCTGCCGCGCGGGAGCCCCAAGCGGTGCCGCAGGCAGCGGGAGCCTCCGGCGGCTGCTGAGCCCTGGCCATGGGCACCCCAGGAGCGCTGCCCACGCGAGGCACTTGCCCGCGCGCCCCAAGCCTGCCGCTTTAAAGGCAACGAGACAACAGGTAGCCCTGAAATATTGGAAATTGTGTTTATGTGTGGTAGAAAAAGCGACACCCACTGTGGCCAGGAACCACCGAGCCATGCAGTGCTGAGCTATGCAATGCCACCCAGTGCCCACGATGTCACCCAGTGCCCAGAGTGCCACACTGTGCCCCACAACGCCATGCAATGCTGCAACTTGAAGCAATGCAATGCTATTGCAGCACCCTGAACGCAGAGCCCGGTGTGGAGACCTGCAGCAGGGCACAGGGTGGCAGATGACACCGCTCAGGTGGCTCTGGACGGACTGGCACGGGTTAGGGACAGTGAGAGGCAGGAATCGGCCTGCAGGGATGCAGCAATGCGACCAAGCACCCCGGCCACACTCCTGCGGCACGGCACAGCTCGGGACACTGGCACAGTACGGCTCAGGACACGGGCACGGCACGGAACACAGGCATGGCACAGTTCGGGACAGGGCTTGGCCACGGGTGCCAGCCTGGCTCTATTGCAGGTATTCTGCAGGCAGAGGAGCCGGAGGCTGAGGCCGCATTCCCGGGAGCGCCAGGGAGCTGGGGCTCCGAGTGCCCTCCCCGCTCGCGGTGACTTTGTCTCTGTCTCGCGTCCGTCCTGGCTGCTCTGCTGGCGAATCTTTATTTATGACGCCGCTCCCCCCCGCTGGCTCCCCCCTCCTATAAATATTACATTTCTGCTTGATCAAATATTCCCTCGCGGCGGCTCGGCGCGACGCTGTGCTGAGCACATCCCGGCCCCGCAGGGTTCAGAGCCGCCCCTGCCGCAGGGAAGGAGCTACGGTGACACGGGGACCCCGTGCCGGGGCCCCCCGCGCGGCCGCAGAGCTGCAAGGATGTGCAGCACATGGAGCCACACGGGTCACTGCACGGGATGGGCACAGGACACGCGTGGGCACAGCCAGCGCCAGCTGTTGGGATAAAGCCCTGCTGCTGTACGGAGCGGTGGGCGCTCACGTGTGGGGGACGGGTGCAGCGCCCGCGTATTGGACCGGGCACCTGCCCAGGTGCATCTCGAGGCCCCCACGAGCCCGTGCCAGGATGGGACAAATCCCGGGCTCTTCAGTCCCCTGGGAACGCCCAGTGGGAGACACTCGACTTGCGGGGTGGAAGGGGCTGCTCTGTCCTCGGGGGCATTTTCCTTCTCCGTCCCCTCTCTGTCCCAGCGGTTTGGAGCCAGGACATGCGGGAGGTGCCAGGTGCCCCCCCGGGACACAGAGACTTGTCCAGGGTGTCCCAGCAGGGCGCAGTGCACGCTCCAACACCTGGCACTCGCACCGGCTCCATGGGCTCCGAGCAAACCGGCCCCGGCGCTCCACTCGCAGCCACCGCCTCGGCCCTGGCTCCCGTCACCATTTTGCTTCTGTCCACAAATGCCCCCTGCCATGTCCTGCTTTTGCATGACAAGAGCAAGAACCCATCGGAGTGAAATTGCCCGGAATAAAATATTGGAGCTAATGAAGCGGCTTGGTGGCACTGCCCGCTGCTCAGGGCCACGCGGGTGCCAGCGTCGGGCGGGTGAAGGCGGCTCCACGCTCCCAGGCCCGGCTCATGGGTGTTGTTCCCAAAAGCTTCTCACACAGGTTTTATTTAATATCCCAGGAAAAGGGGAGCTGGGCTCTTCCCAATACACGGGAACGTGGCAGGAAGGGCTCCCACGCTAATGCTGCCGGCATTGCTTGCCTCTCCTGGTGCCTCTCGTGGCTCCTCTGCAAATCCCGTGCACTACAGCCCAGTCGGGCCAAAGGGAAGGGCACAACTCCCGTTCCCGGCACTGGCAGCATATGGCAGCTTCCACAGGGCTCGGCCCTCACCGCTGCCTGGAGCCCGACGGGGCTTTATTGCAAAATGGGGTTTCGCAGCTGCACTGAAACAGCTGAAGGCGTCACCTCAGCGAGCTCGGAGACGGAGCGGATGAAAGGAGCTGCTCGGTCACCGCCTCACTCGAAATCCCAGGATTTTTCACTAATCTCCTGCCCAGCAAGGCACCATCTCCCAGCTCTGAGCGCAGCCCGCTGACACCGAGGGTGAGCTCTGCTCCAGTTCGGCCGTGAACGGGAAGCAGCCCAAGAGCCGGTCATGGCACCGGCAGCCTCATCTCACTCTGCTCCCGCTGCCCCAGGGCTGGAGGTTCAATCATGGCCACAAAACCAAAGGGGATTTCTTTGCCCTTTTTTCCCTACCTAAATCCAGGCAAGGCTGCACCCAGGAGTGAACTGCAGCACCCTGGAGCACATGACCAAGGGATGAGATTGGGAAAGACCTGTCTCCCGGTTTGCCACATTCGCAACAGGGATGATCCCAAAGGGAAGCAGAGTTTTCCCTGCCCCAGAGCCCATCTCCCTCCAGCACCCCAGGTCCACGGGGCCGGGGCCGCCGCGCTGCTCCGCACGCCACCTAAATTATTTAATTTCTCCAAACTGCTGCACCTTTATAAATCATTGAAGGCTCCTTTTGATGTGCGATAATGAGGTTTCCTGAGCGGGCGGTGGGAAAGGCGATGCGGCCAATTAAAAAAATAAAGAGGGAGCAGGAGAGGGGGCAGGATGGTCCTGAGTGCCAGGAGCGCTGGGCACCCTGTGCTGCGGTCGAGCGCATCCCGCAGCCCGGGATGGTTCCTGCAGGGCCCAGCTGCAAACCCCAAACCCACCTTTAAAAAAAAAAAATAGGAAAATGTCTTTTTTCACCCCAAACTTTGTGCTGGGGAGGCGGTGATGTCCACCAGCTGCCTGTGGAGGTCATGGCAAGCCAGGCATTGTGGGTAATGTATGCAAACCAGCATGCAGATCAGCATGGGAATTGGCACCGGACCAGGGATGGGAGGACGGGGTGGGGAGCTGGAGCCGCATCCACCATCCCCATCCCACCTGGAGCAGTGCTCATGGAACTGCTGCCTCCAACCACATCCCGTCCCACTGGACCCCATGCTCCCGAGTGGTTCTGACCCGGATCCGGAGGTGCATCTGGATGGAACCAGGACAAGCAACGGATGCAGAGGGGGGCCCCCCTCGGCCCCGAGGCTCCCTCCTCTTCCTCCCTAATGGCAGTGACAGGCGGGGAGGCGCCTGTGCTGATCGGAGGCAGGAGAGCGGCGGTAACCTCATCGGGGCTCTCCCGCAGGAGACAACTGCTCCCGTTACCTGGGGCAACGGGGGAAAAATTATGGCTGGCATCTAAATTGCCATCATTATGCTCCAGAGCCAACACTCCCCATTTACACTTTATTGTCATCTTTTGCTTTAGGGAGATGCTGAGATATTACAGGAGCGGGTGACAGAGGAAGATGAGATGGGATGCATGAGCAGATAGACACACAGATAAATGGCTACACCCGGAGCTATTATTTCAGCCAGTTTGCAGATCTCGGGAAGGAGCAGCAATCCGCCCCCCCAGGCCCTGCAGAGCCTTTAGAGCAGAGAAGGGAACCAAATTTGTTTAAATGCAAAGCTAAGGCCACAGAGCCCACGGCGCACGGAGCAGCGGCGGTGCCGCCAGCTCCCCGCAGCGCCCGCACGCCCGCGGGGCTCTTCACGCCAAAATAACCCCGGGGCCAGCTGCAGCAATCGATAATAAGGCAGAATCCAATCGGTTCCCGGTGCATCCCATCTCCGTTGGGTCACATTCGCCTGGAGAAGCACTCAGCCGTTCTCACATCTCAAATGCTCTCCAGACAACACACTTATCTCACAAGATGTGCCCTCAACCATACATATTAATTTGGAGCCGGAGTCGTGCGGACCAGC